TTATTTTATACTGATTTTATAATATTTTTCAAACTTTGAATAGAGCAGTACTCCCTGGTGTTACTTTATAACTGTATGTCCAGTATTGCCTCCTCTCCTGGTATTTTCAGAATAATATCAGATCTCAAGGCCCTGGGACATTTATAGGTCTTGAAATCAGTTTTGATTTAACAGATTCCATTGTATTATGGCATTGCCTTGTGACTTGATGAGGTTTACACACAGTCTGGGTATGTCTACACTACCACCCTAGTTCGAACTAGGGTGGTTAATGTAGGCAACCGAAGTTGTAAATGAAGCCCGGGGTTTAAATATCCTGGGCTTCATTTGCATCTTGCCGGGCGCCGCCATTTTTAAAGCCCCGGTAGTTTGGACTCCATGGAACAAGGTGTACTGGTAGTTCAGATTAGAGAGCCTAATCCGAACTACCTACTCTGTGCCACGTGTAGCCACGAGCACAGAGTCCAAACTACTGGGGCTTTAAAATAGAAATAGAGCATCCACACTACAGGGAAACGTCAGAATTAGTCTGAGGCAGGCTTCCCTAATGTGGATGCTCTATATCAGTGTAGAGCACCAGGAGGCACTGGGGAGGAATAACTTTAGAATGGCTATTTCGACATAACAGCAGTGGAACATAAACACACACTCTCTTCCAAAAGAGCTTTTTTGGAAGAGGCACTATTTGTCATGGAATGAGGTTTACCAACATTGGAAAAAGCCCTCTGTTATTTCAATTTTCTTTCAAAATAATGCAGTTGTTGGGTGGACACCAATATTGTTTTTCTGGAATAATGGCCGTTATTCTGGAAAAATGGTGCAATGTACACAGACCTTATGATTCTATATGCACTATGCAGTCTAGGGCACTAGGGAAACTGTTGCATGTAAGACCCATTGTAGTATTATTTTTCTGGAATAACAGCCATTATTTCAGAATAATGGTGCAGTGGGGAGACACTCTCACACCCAAGAAAAAAGCATGTCCTGGTCTGCTCCCATGCTGGTTCATTGGAGTCAGATGGTAAGGGGAAAAGGAAGATGCTCCTTGCATCCTCTTGCCTATCTACCCCTCCTTACAAAGATTTAAAAATGGTTAAACCATTATTCAACAGAATGGAAACAAGGTCCAGACTTGCCCATTGGGTTCTTGTGGCCTCAGTGAAGAGACTACGAAGATGAGCATTGCCTGTGATAGGATTAGCAATGCCAACTGCCATCAAAAGCTTCTTAAAAATACCTTTCACCGCCTACTCAACTGGTTTTTAGCATTTCTACTGATGAACTGCAGTTCAACTTCTGCCCTGGTGTTGCAGCACATGTGGTAGTGACATCACCCAGCATTCCACACAGGAGACAGTCATCTATCATAATCGCTGACACACACATCCAGAAGTTTTCCAGTAAATACAACTGGAATACTCATAATTCTGAGCTGTGCTTTTCTGGGTTTAAATCATGTCTTAAAGTTACTTTAATGAAGGTTTGAGGATGAATACACACATACTTTATTAAGGAATGTTTAAAAATATACATTTATATGGTGTTAAAAGTGGGACTACTTTGCTGTCCAGTTATAGCTACATAAAATTAAAGATTCAGAATATACCTTCCTTCCCACAACAAAAAAGCCCAGCAACAACCTGTCACTGAAAAATGCAACAACAGGCATGCTTTTACTGGCAAAATATTGTTCTCTTTAATCCAGCATCACCTTATTTAAAAAGGACTGTATTGCTTAAGAAGATCTATCCTGTATTACTTTGAACTAAAAGGAACACACGCTGTCATATTGGGCTAGGTTCCACAGAAATAGCTACTCTACTTAACACATGTTGTATTGTATATGTACATACTGAATATGTTGTAATGTTCTGTACAGTATATGTTGGAACATTATACTTTATTGGTTACCGTAAAAGGCCTGAACGAACTTGATTTTGATCAAGTTTTATACATGGCTAATCACTTTATTCACATATCTGAACATCATGATCAGACTTAGGCTGTGTCCAGACTCAAGGGTTTTTTCGAAAAAAGTAGCCTTTTTCCGAAAAAACTTCACTTGCATCTAGACTACAGCCGCGTTCTTTCGAAATTAAATCGAAAGAATGCGGCTTTTCTTTCGACAGCGGTAAGCCTAATTTTGCAAGGAAGAACGCCTTTTTTCGAAAGTGCTCTTTTGAAAAAAGGCGTTCTTGAATGCAAACAGGGCGTTTTCGAAAGAGAGCATCCAGACTGCCTGGGTGCTTTCTTTCGAAAAAGCGGCTTGATTTTTCGAATGTACTGGTTGCAGTCTAGACGCTCTTTTTTGAAAGATGCTTTTTCGAAAGATACTTTCGAAAAAGCCTCTTTCGAAAGAGGCTTGCAGTCTAGACGTAACCTTAAAGTTTTCACTACATTTTCTACAATAGTGACCACATCTGTGGATGATTATGTTTATATTATTCCCTACCAAATTTTGAATCCTAGCCCTGATTTAGACTTAAACCTGAATTGAACAAAAACTAGAGCCAAACACTGCATTTGTAACTATATAGTAGAGATCCTTGTTGAAAGGAATATATGAAGGAGGGAGGGGGACGATAAGGGTGCTTTGCAGAGCTATCCGAAAGTCAAGTGCAAGCTGAAGCAGTTTTAAGTCATGCTGTCCATTCTTGCTCAGCTGCAGTGAGGGTAGATTAGGGATAAATTATGCGGAGGGCAAGAGTCTTGTTTTCTATAACTCCACCCCTTTTTGGCACTCTGCCTTACCCTCACTCTATGGAGTTGGCTCGTGTCTTAATGGCAGAACTTAGGCAGCTGGCAATTTTATATGTCTGAGAGGGATGATTTACACAGTGCTGTTGTGTCAGTTATTCAGAAACTTCAGATACGGTATGTGGTTTGTTTCCAGGAACACAAACACTGGCTTATACGTTGCGAATGGCTTTGGAGACTGGCATGGCAACTAGCGTGATTTTAAACACTTTAAATTAGAAATTATATTTCAGGCCTTTTACATTACAATACGTTACTAGTGCTGTACCTTCCAAACACACACAAATGCTTATTTTAATGCAAAAACACAATTCATAGTTTGGCTTTGGTAAAACTAGTTCACAAGTCTGTTCTGAAAAATGAACAGAAATGAGATAATTACCAAAATCTAGCTGATTTTCTTCAGTGTCCAGAGTCATAAACATGACTTGTTAATTTCATATTGCCCATAAGAGAGACAATGTGAATGTTTGCAGAGTTTATAGGATATCAGTTACAAATGTGATTATACCAACCATTCCTCAAGACTGACACCGGTTTCAAATTAGAAACTGACAGGCCTCACCTGCTCCTGAGTTCACCCACAGGTCATCTTCTTGTCACTTCGCCAATCCACCCATTAAAATGACATCTGTGTTCATAAAGAGACTGAGAGGGACTGTAAGTTGTTAGAATTGTTGAGGAATAAGAATAAGGTGTCATCTTCTCAGATAATGGAGTGTTCAACTTTGGCCTTTCATATGGCTAGATGTTTGTAACACCTGACTGTGTTTCCAAAGACAAGAATAGATAGATCTGAGAGGTCACCAGTTGTTCTTCATACGATCTATGGATGCTATGTTTTCAACTACGCCACAAAACTGACATCAACACATAGTAAAGAGCTAGTCAACTGATTGTACTTTTCTGCATATAGTCGTCCCTTAAATTAAATAATTCCATTACGTAGGACACTGTAGCACATGTAGCTTTTTAAGCCAACAATCACAGGGATGTAAAAGGTAAAAATAGCTGGATAAATTGCTGAACTTCTATATTGATCTAACTGCATGATATTCATGGAAAATAAACAAAGTATAAGCTAGTTCTACACTGAACTACTTTGTTTCCTGAAATGTGATTTTAATTATGTAA